CAACACTGCCTACAATAACCCAGGAATCTAATGACCATTCACGAGCACATCTCAAAGAAGGGAGACACACAATCTCTACTACCAAAAGCAATAAGAATAACCGGAGTAAACAACCACTGGTCATTAATATCACTTAATATTAATGGGCTCAATTCACCTATAAAAAGGCACAGGCTAAAAGATTGGATACGAAAACAGGATCCAACATTCTGCTGTTTGCAAGAAACACATCTCAACCACAAAGACAGGCACCTACTCAGAGTAAAGGGTTGGGAAAAGGTGTTTCAAGCAAATGGTCCTAAGAAAAAAGCAGGTGTGGCCATACTAATTTCTAACAAAACTGACTTCAAACTAAAATCAATCAGAAGAGACCGAGACGGTCACTTTATACTCATAACAGGAACAATTCATCAGGAGGACGTCTCAATCCTGAATATATACGCCCCCAATATAAAAGCATCTACCTATGTAAAAGAAATATTACTAGAACTCAAGGCAGACATCAAACCACACACACTAGTAGTAGGAGACTTCAACACACCTCTCTCTCCAAGGGACAGGTCAATCAGACAGAAACCTAATAGAGAATTAAGAGAATTATTGGAGGTAATGAAGCAAATGGACTTAACAGACATCTATAGAACATTCCACCCAAATAGGAAAGAATATACCTTCTTCTCTGCAGCTCATGGAACCTTCTCAAAAATTGACCACATACTCGGAAACAAAAGAAACCTCCACAGATACAAAAAAATATCAGTGTCCACCTGTGTCTTATCAGATCATCACGGATTAAAGTTAGAAGGCAACAACCACGCTGCCCCCAAAAAACCAACAAACTCACGGAAACTGAACAGTCAACTACTGAACCACACCTGGGTCAAGGAAGAAATCAAGAAAGAAATTAAAGTCTTCCTTGAATTTAATGAAAATAAAGGGACAACATACTCAAACCTATGGGACACAATGAAAGCAGTCCTAAGAGGAAAGTTCATAGCACTAAGTGCCCACTTAAAGAAAACGGAGAATGCATACATTGGGGACTTAACAACATACCTGAAAGCTCTAGAAAAAAAAGAAGCAGACGCGCCTAGGAGAAGTAGAAGACTGGAAATAATAAAAGTGAGGGCTGAAATCAACAAAATAGAAACCCAGAAAACAGTCCAAAGAATCAATGAAACAAAAAGCTGGTTCTTGGAGAAAATCAACAAGATCGACAAACCCCTATCCAAACTAATTAAACGACAGAGAGAGAACACGCAAATAAATAAGATCAGAAATGAAAAGGGGGACATAACCACAGACACAGAGGAAATTCAGAGAATCATTAGATCTTACTACAAAAGCCTGTATGCCACAAAACTGGAAAATACAAAAGAAATGGACATTTTTTTAAATAAGTACCATATACCAAAGCTAAACCAAGACCAGGTGAATGATATAAATAGACCAATTACTCACGAAGAATTAGAAATGGTTATCAAAAATCTCCCTTCGAAAAAAAGCCCAGGACCAGATGGTTTCAATGCAGAATTCTACCAGAACTTCCAAGAAGAACTAATACCTATACTCCTTAATGTATTTCACAATATAGAATCAGAAGAGTCATTGCCAAATTCCTTTTATGAGGCTACAGTTACCCTGATACCAAAACCACAAAAAGACCCAACCAAGAAAGAGAATTACAGACCGATCTCACTCATGAACATCGACGCAAAAATTCTCAATAAAATACTGGCAAACCGAATCCAAGAACACATAAGAAAAATTATCCATTATGATCAAGTAGGCTTCATCCCAGAGATGCAGGGCTGGTTCAACATACGCAAATCTATCAATGTAATCCACCATATAAATAAACTGAAAGAAAAAAACCATATGATCATTTCATTAGATGCTGAAAAAGCATTCGACAAAATTCAACACCCCTTTATGATAAAGGTCTTGGAGAGAATAGGGATACAAGGGTCCTACCAAAATATAATAAAAGCTATTTACAGCAAGCCAACAGCTAACATTAAATTAAACGGAGAAAAACTCAAGCCATCCCACTAAAATCAGGAACACGACAAGGATGTCCACTCTCTCCATACCTCTTCAATATAGTGCTTGAAATTCTAGCAATAGCAATAAGACAACATAAGGAGATCAAGGGGATTCGTATTGGAAAGGAAGAAGTTAAGCTTTCGTTATTTGCAGATGATATGATAGTGTACATAAGCGACCCCAAAAATTCTACCAAAGAACTCCTACAGCTGATAAACACCTTTAGTAATGTGGCAGGATACAAGATCAACTCCAAAAAATCAGTTGCCTTCCTATACACTAAGGATAAGGAAGCAGAGAGGGAAATCAGAGAAGCATCACCTTTGACGATAGCCACAAATAGCATAAAATATCTTGGGGTAACCCTGACCAAAGAAGTGAAAGATCTACTTGACAAGAACTATAAGTCTTTGAAGAAAGAAATTGAAGAAGACACCAGAAAATGGAAAGACCTCCCTTGCTCTTGGATTGGGAGGATCAACATAGTAAAAATGGCAATTCTACCAAAAGCAATCTATAGATTCAATACAATCCCCATCAAAATCCCATCAAAATTCTTCACAGATCTGGAGAAGACAATAATCAACTTTATATGGAAAAACAAAAAACCCAGGATAGCCAAAACAATCTTATACAATAAAGGATTGTCTGGAGGCATTACCATCCCTGACTTCAAACTCTATTACAGAGCTACAGTATTGAAAACAGCTTGGTATTGGCATAAAAACAGAGAAGTCGACCAATGGAATCGAATAGAAGACCCTGACATTAACCCACAAACCTATGAACACCTGATTTTCGATAAAGGAGCTAAAAGTATACAATGGAAAAAAGAGAGCATCTTCAACAAATTGTGCTGGCAAAACTGGATGTCAATCTGTAGAAGAATGAAAATAGACCCACATCTTTCACCATGCACAAAACTCAAGTCCAAATGGATTAAAGACCTCAATATCAGTCCGAACACACTGAACCTGATAGAAGAGAAAGTGGGAAGTACTCTACAGCACATGGGCACAGGAGACCACTTCCTACGTATAACCCCAGCAGCACAGACACTAAGGGCATCATTGAATAAATGGGACTTCCTGAGGCTGAGAAGCTTCTGTAAAGCAAAGGACACTGTCACTAAGACAAAAAGGCAACCCACTGACTGGGAGAAGATCTTCACCAACCCTGCAACTGACAAAGGTTTGATCTCCAAAATATATAAAGAACTCAAGAAACTAGACCGTAAAAGGCTAATCAACCCAATTATAAAATGGGGCACTGATCTGAACAGAGAATTCTCAACAGAAGAAGTTCAAATGGCCAAAAGACACTTAAGGTCATGCTCAACTTCCTTAGCGATCAGGGAAATGCAAATCAAGACAACTTTAAGATACCACCTTACACCTGTCAGAATGGCTAAAATAAAAAACACCAATGATAGCCTTTGCTGGAGAGGTTGTGGAGAAAGGGGTACACTCACCCATTGCTGGTGGGAATGCAAACTTGTGCAACCACTCTGGAAAGCAATGTTTCGGTTTCTCAGGAAATTCGGGATCAACCTACCCCTGGATCCAGCAATACCACTCTTGGGAATATACCCAAGAGAGGCCCTATCATACAACAAAAGTATATCCTCAACTATGTTCATGGCAGCATTGTTTGTAATAGCCAGAACCTGGAAACAACCTAGATGCCCTTCAATGGAAGAATGGATGAAGAAAGTATGGAATATATACATATTAGAGTATTACTCAGCAGTAAAAAACAAGGACTTCTTGAATTTTGCATACAAATGGATGGAAATAGAAAACACTATCCTGAGTGAGGTAAGCCAGACCCAAAAAGAGGAACATGGGATGTACTCACTCATATTTGGTTTCTAGCCATAAATAAAGGACATTGAGCTTATAATTCATGTTCCTAGAGAAGCTAAATAAGAAGGTGAATCCAAAGACAAACACATAGGCATCCTCATGAATATTAACCTTCATCAGGCGATGAAAAGAGACAGAGACAGAGACCCACATGGGAGCACCGGACAGAAATCTCAAGGTCCAAATCAGGAGCAGAAGGAGACAGAGCACGAGCAAGGAACTCAGGACCACGAGGGGTGCACCCACACACTAAGACAATGGGAATGATCTATTGGGATCTCACCAAGGCCAGCTGGCCTAGGTCTGAAAAAGCATGGGATAAATCCGGACTAGCTGAACATAGCGGACAATGAGGAATACTGAGAATTCAAGAACAATTGCAGTGGGTTTTTGATCCTACTGCACGTACTGGCTTGGTGGGAGCCTAGGCAGTTTGGATGCTCACCTTACGAGACCTGGATAGAGGTGGGCAGTCCTTGGGCTTCCCACAGGTCAGGGAACCCTGATTGCTCTTCGAGCAGATGAGGGAGGGGGACTTGATCGGGGGAGGGGGAGGGAAATGGGAAGCGGTTGTGGGGACGAGGCAGAAATCCTTAATAAATAAATAAATTAAAAAAAAGAAATGCTAGAAGTTTCCCAGTTACATATTAATTTATTACACTATGTATTTGAATAATTGTGTCTCTTATGCTATAATTGTAAAGGGTACCAACAGAAATTAAAACGTGTGTCTCATAGAAATGATTTTTCCTTTACCTTCATAAATGATGAATAAGTCTATGGGAATAAGTGTGCTTTAAGACAATTTTCTAGCTTAATACTTCCTCAACACCTCTATTATGGAGAATTAGTCTCAGATAAAGTCAACTAAAAAGTTCAGTTAATAGGATGAGGTTGTTAGAAGCAGATATTTAAATCACCCTTGTTGGAGCAAATGCAATGGCAGGTGGTACCCAATTAAACACTCACACATATACCATTTTACATTTGTATGAACATGGAATAAAAATTCAACTAGGAAACCAATTACAATCAGAATGTGCCTAACATCTTTGATTACTAAAAATAAGTTGTTAAAAACACAATTACCTCAATTTTGGTTAAGAGATCTTGCAGTTCTCCCGATTCATTCATTGACAAAATTTTCTCAGCACCCTGTTGACAAGAGGGGTAGGAAGAAAAGAAAATCCATTGTGTTAATATTTGAAAGCCAAAGTCATAACCAGGAAAGGTTAGCTTACCAAACAATGAACACAAATTTCCCCCTCAGCTCTGAGTAAACTTAAAACCAAAGGCCAAAATGTTTTACTGTCACATGCCCACTTCTGTGTCAAGGCACTGAGAAGGCAGTCAAAAGGGGCAAGCTCTGGTAAATACTACCTCTCACAGCAGGCCCAACAGGGATGCGTACAGCACACCCACGGAACCCAGCACCAGGTCTTCTATCTGGAGAAGGGAGCTTTGAGAAAAATCCACAGCCTGGGTTATCTCTGCCCCCTCCTAGTCACCCTGGAATGAACCTCCTTACTGCCATACATGTACTTTTAACGGCTAACAAAATCATCATCATTAACCCGGCACTGTTGTCAGACAGCAAGCACCATCTCCTTTGATACAGTGTGCTCTGCTGCTCGCAGAAGTTGACCCTTAGTAAAATTAAGTAGCAATCCCAGAGTGTCCTCGAGAGAAAGCATAAAGGCAGCTGGAACACTGGCAGGGAAGTTGCTCCAGAGCTGAAGTTACTATGAAAGTAAGAATAGGAAACATGTAGGCTTTTTTCCACACATTCATCATAGTTCTTTGAACTATCCCCATTGTCTCTCCTTTCCATATTCTTCTTAGCATTCTTCCATTCAACTTCTCAGAGTACAGAGAGGGGAGGAAGACAGTTTGTTAATTATTACTAATGAAAGGCTCAGTTCACTTTGACCTTGTTCACGCTGTCTCTGCACTGCTTTAAATAAGAGTCTAACCCACCGTTTTCTTAATGAACAAGTCATGAATGAAGATCAAACCATATTTTTATATTCCTATTTGTGGTAAGCATGGCAAATATTCATTTAAAGAAATAATGAGATCTTATTTGATCTCATGGGAATCAAAGTATATTTTATGTGAATACATATAAAAGAATAATCCACTTACAGAAGAAGATATTAATGCTAAAAGAATGATGTATTGGGAAATCCCAACATGGCCTAAAGATATACTTGCTAGGGCTGCAGAATGCCTTCCAGGGTTAGTGGCATCTGGTCGCTTGATCACTTGTTCAGGTCATGAAGAATGTGTGACTTATTTAAGTAGGTGCTGGTTACTTCCCCATGTTGTCTAAGAACTCTAGCCCTTCTTTCATCTTAGTTTACTCTGCCTTCTAACATATCAACATGAGAAATGTCAAGTCAATATATTAAAATCCACTACAGATGAATGGACAGGGACACCGAAAATGCACAGAGCCTAAAATGAGGTAGATTATATCCATTCATTCATTGATAGCTTCACCAGGCACACAGACAGATGTGACAGTCAACATAACACAGGTGATGGAAGCCCACTGCCAGAACATTAAACGTAGAAACTTAGAAAGAACCGGTAATATTTTCGAATTCCAGCTTTCCATTTCCTTTCCTGAGCTAATCAGGCTAAAATGAAAAAATCCTCCAGGGAATTGGGCACAAGAACTAAGGCAGCAAGGAGAATATACACCTCATTTTTCTCAAATGAAGGAAAATGCACCGCAATGACGGCAAACAAAATGAATGCCCTATAAAAGCCACGGCCAGTTGGCTTCCCAGCTCTTTCCTATGCAATGCATTCTGCCTCCGTCAATGGTGTAGAATACACTATATGCTGAGGAAGGATCTAGTTCATTGCTCTTATATGCATGGAAATTTCCAGAGCATAAATTCCATCTCACATTAGATGGCTAAGCTTTCATCATATCAAGGTCTGACATAATCCCAATCGGCAAGATATAACCGAATGATTAGTGGATAGGTGGTGTACCGAGTACTCAAGATTTCAAAAAGGTTTCCCAGTTACAGGCAGCAAAGAGCTGAATACCTGCTTCCTCCATCACCAGCTGCAGTTCAAGGGTCTCCACAATTCCTCCTCAACCAGTGCTCAGATCTGTACTGGGAAGCCAGTTTCTAGTCTCGGTACCATCGGCTAAACTACAATGGTAACCAAAATCTCTGACTTTATGCTGGGCCCCACATCTCTTTGAAAGTAAAAGATATAGGAGTGGGGGTGGACAAGAGTGTTCTAGGGTCCCTTTGTCTGATCCGAAGGGCAGCAGCCAGAGGGGTGATCTCAGCCTCACGGGGCCATTTCCTTCTATGCTGAGGTTCAAAGCACTTGTCATGGAGTTCTTTGATTGGCCTGCTCTTCACTGTGTTTGAGTACTCCAAAAATCTCATCCACTCCTTTTTTTTTTCAGTCAAATCAATCCAAACCATTAATTGTCTTACCAAAGATGCCCGTGTGTGTACAACAAAGAGACATTGACACTCTCGATAAATAATATTTTTCTGGTTTGTTTGGCAAAGAATATCAGAATTTGACACTTTTCATTTAGAACTCCACCATTCAATCATAAGCTACCAGGGCAACTTTATTTTATTTATTGTTCAGTATTTTTTTCTTTTCTGTATTTTTTTCTTAAAATAAATATAATCCTGAAAACGACGATAATAGGACAGTAGTAATACATGAGGTAGATTATAGGCATTTAGTCATTGCTGCAAAGTAATTATAATTATCACAAACTTTAAAAAGAAAGAAACTAACTTTTGGAGAGAAGCAAGAGGATGCACAAAGGAAGAGAGAAGGGAGAGATAGAGAGAGACTGTTGTCCCCCGCTACCATCAAGGCTTGTTGATTAGTGAGCGAATAGTATCCAAAACTCAGTCTGAGAACTAGGAACTATGATGGGCAAATTTGTGTTTAGGACTGGCAGTTCGCTGAATTCCCAGGAAGTTCAAGTGAGTAAATGGCACTTTGTACCACAAGGACCCCACATCCACAGTGAGCATACCGGAAAAAATGGGGAAAATATAGTTTAGTTTTGTCCATTTCAGGACTGTGTTTTATCCAATTATATAGACTACACTGTGTGTGCCAGGGTAGGTTCTGTCTTGCAAATATTCATTTGTATATACACATATTTGTTGTGTAACACCTAAGCACCTATATTTTAGGTTTTGTTCATATTTACTTATTTATTCCACTTCATCTTACTAAGAGCACAACATAAGTAACAGACCTATGTCATAGCATAATAAAAAATATATTGAATATGATTTCAAGAAAAAGAAAAGGAAACAAAGAAAAGGAAAATACATCCCGAAATGACAGTTAGATTAAGGCTTACACTGGATTCTAAATTATATCCTCAGAAGAAACAAAGTCTGTCTTAGCACCGGAGTCTGGACAACAACTCAGATAAGAGGTGAAATGGCTCATACAAGTAATATCTTTACTTTTTACTGACTATAAAAATTTTTGCTTTCAATAAATACTATTAGAGAAATGGCTCTTGAAACCAACCAGTAAAACTTTCAACCTCCTGCTAGCTTTAAAGAGGATTCTTTTATTTCTCACTTAATTGACTCCCTGCCATGCATTTGTCTCCATTTTGTTGCATGCCCCACGCTGACCATTAAACATAAAACCCACACTCTCAGCAGGACCCACAAACAGCAGCATTGCTGGTTGACCAATCCTCCCAGAGCTGTCTTGCCCTACTGTAAGTTCCGCAATATTTCCCCTCCTCCCTTCTTTACATTTTACACACAGACTCCATCCATTGCCTGAACTTCTTCCTCACTCGCCACTAGGAAAACTTCAATACACTATTCAAACCCCATTAAAATGGTAAAGCATCCTTGAGTTTCTCAGGAGAATCAGCCATCCCTAGACCTCACTGCACAGCAAGCTGTGACGACATCCTTAGGTATTCAATGTTCTATGTGCCATCAACAACTCCTGAATATTTACTGTATTATTCATCTTCAAACGGGGCAGTAACACATCATTAAATTTTAAGCAAGTATTTCTTATAATCAATACTATCTCAACAAAGGTAAGCAAGCCTGGGAAATATCAGATCGTGTATTTGTGAGGGAGATCATGCTAATGTGACGCCGTGAAAGAATGTCAGATGAACAGCAAAACAGGCAGATGAAGACTGCGGAACCACTCCCAGGTCACTCTCTGGAGAGGACCGGGAGGCTAGGACTCAGAGATCCTGCCTGGTAAGTAACCCTTCTGCTATGTAATCAGGAGAGCAGATGGCACGTTTGGCACTGAGAGAGCTCAACTAGAACCAAGCTTCACGCCTGCCAAAGGATGTGCTCAATTAGTGTTTGCTGCTCTGATTGTTGTGCCCACCGGAAATGGGAGCCCATATCCACTCTGCCTAGAAAGAGGCTGCCTGATCCCTGCTGAAGAAGTGAGTATTTCCTTTAGGACTCAGCTCTGGATCTCCTCCAGTGTGTGGCAAGCTTCATGGTGTCTCTGGAGTTCTGCATCAAACACTCAGAATGGGAAACTGTTCAAAACAGGTGTAGCAGTATCCCACCAATGTCCAAAAAAACACAGCAAAGGCTCCTCTGGGTATTTGAATAATAAAACAACAGCAACAAAAAACAAAAAACAAAAAAAAAAAAAACATGGTTTTTCTATTTCCCTGCAGAGAAACTTGGGGGCAGAATTAACTAAGATAATTGACTTATTGAGCAAATATGAAACACAGACCCTTGGGTGTCCAATTCCTGCCAAAGCCGATGTCTTTAGTTTAATGTAATTAGTGCTGAGCCACTATTTTCAGTGCAGTTGAACAGGACAGTTTTCTAGTGAGGCCAATTCTTACTTCATAACAAAATTACATCATCAAAATAGAGGATCATGGGAGTAATTATTTCCTCCTTCACTGAAAGCCACTCAATGAACTTGATATTAACAAGTCAGTAAGTTGTTTACTTTGTTTGTTTGTTTGTTGTTTTAGTTTGGTTAGGGTTTGTTTTGTTTTGTTTTTTGAGAAAGGGTTCCTCTATGTAGAACTCTCTTTGTAGACCAGGCTGGCCTCAAACTCACCGAGATCCACCTGTCTCTGCCTCCTGAGTGCTGGGATCAAAGGCGTGAAACAACACTGC